TGACATTTTCAGGATTATCGGGATCGATTTCTATTGATTTGGTTAAATCATCAAGTGCATCTTCATATTGTTTCATTGAATAATATAATGAACCTCGACTTCTTAATGCAAAAGAATTATTTGAATCAATTTCTAATGATTTAGTTAAATCATCAAGAGCTTCTTCATTTCTGTTCATTTTATTATAAATTTCACCACGAAGACTTAAAGCCCAAGAATTATTTGGTTCAATTTCTAATGATTTAGTTAAATCTCCAAGAGCTTTTTCATATAAATTCATCTTAAAATAAGTTTCGCCACGACTTGTAAAAGATGCTGCATGATCTGGTTTAATTTTTAATGATTTTGTAAAATCTTTGATAGCTTTACGAAACATTTTCATCATGAGAAAAGTCACACCTCGATCGTATAATGCAACTATGTCATAAGGCTCAGTTAATAATATCTTATTTAAATGTTTAAGAGCTTCTTCATATCTTTTTAATTTTAAACAATCATCAGCACACTTTTTTAGCATAGCTACATCGATTTCATTATCTAGACTTATAGATAAAGTTTGTATACTTGTAGTTGATGATGGAGTAGTTGGCGATGAAGTAGGTAGAGTAGGTGTAGAAACCGAGAAATAAGATTGAGGGAAAGGGACATGCTCTGTGGGCATAATAACATCCCATAAAGTTTCATCAAGCATTTTCTGATAAGGAAGAATTTTCTTAACACTATCTTCTTCAGAAATTCGATAATAACGGATTAGAGGAAGACAATGTTGAAGAGTATATTTCATTGTCAAAAAGTCACTATCAGTCCATTGTTTAGGATCAAGAGGTAAAGAAGGGTTTCGAGCAATTCCCCATCTAATAACACAATCCCAAATTGTTCCTTCGTCTATTTGTAAATTATCGAGCTTTAAAATAAAAAGCAAGATCTTTTCAGGAAGAGAAGTAAATTTGTTATGATCAAAAATAATGTTAGGATTTTGAGCAACAGTTTCTGAACAAAATTGTTGTAAAGCTTTAAAATTGTCGTCACAGAAAACATGCTGACAAACGCGATAAATATTATAGCGCAACCAAAAAGCGTTATTTTCTATTAAAATTGATTGAACATGATCAACCAATTCCTCAAGACCAAATGTATGGGAAGCAAGTAAAAGATCAAACATTACAGAAGCATTAACTTTTCCTAATGAAATGGTGCCAGTGTAGAGATACCTAAATATTTTAAAAGAATAAAAAAAAATTTAAAAAATTTAATTTAAGTTAAATATTATTCATTTATTGCTTACTTGATAATAATATCAAACACCCTAATAGAAATATCAACTTTAATTTTTTTCATGTTACCATTATCACAGACCACAGTACTTAGTTTATCCTTAAAATAAGGGCACCGAGAACTTAGGATAATAGAATGAGCCTTAAATATTTGATTATTTGGCGCTTTACCGACATCGATTATAACATTATATTCGTTATTATTGGTAAGAAGATCATTTAAATTGTTAGAAAGTTTTTCATAAAATTTAGTAACCATTTTTACGTTAGCAAAGTTAAGGCTTGATCATAAAACTGACACAATTTATGCACTTTGGCTGCATGACTCCGATTACGTTTTACCCGAGTTAAGACAATTGTAACGGAGTGTCTTATTTTATATATTTATTTGTAATGTTGGTATTGTTTTCCATTATATTTTCTTTTTTGTAAATATTTTTTTTTAAGTAAATATTTATGTTATTGATAGCAATAGTTCCACAGCTGATACTTATCGGTGCCCTCCGGGATACAAATCGTGCCAAGATGAGACAAGATGAGCCTAGATGAGCCAAGATGTCGAGCCGGCGCAAGTTTGTGACCTGTAAGAAATTTAATATTACAGTAAGCATAAAATAAATCTTGTACAGGAAATTCTAATGTCAATGACTGTGTAAACATTTGATTTCCTTCTAATAGCATGTTTTATTGAAAAATACGTATTTTCAAAGAAATATTACTTCTCTGACAGTACGAACGTACGATGCAGCATACTGATTGCATCGACTTCCCATCGTCCGCAATCCTGGCAATCATTTACAAATATATTAGTTATTCACTAGCCCTAATGAGTCACATCACGTCATAAAGTCATATTATACCGATTGACTAGGCTAAAAAAATCACACGAACAAAGGTATGTACAACAAAATGGTTAAATTCAGTTAGCAGATACTGTAACGGTATTGTTCAAAGAATTTTCTCTGAAAATCTTATATGGATGAATACAAAGCTGAAAATTATTTTTGAGACCCACGTTTCATAACGATAATCTAATAATAGTAAACAGGAATCTAATGTTTCCATTATCATTTTTTAATATATGAAAAATCAACTGAGGGGGTTTTTTTTTTGATAAAGATGCATTTAGGTCCGAAAATCCGGAATTTTAATTCCACCTCTTTCAAATAGATTTGTCTGATTCTTTTAGAGAATTTTAAGTTTGTGGCTAATAATAATATATTTCGTAACTGTAAATAATATTTCGTACTTGCAGCGATAATGTGAATTTTTTTATTTTTTTTTTTTTACTTGTAAATAATAATACTTGCAGAAATAAGGCGATTTTTTTTTTTGTTTCTTTAGTTAATGTCTGCATGCCACCTGCATAATTATAAAAAAGTATTGCACTTTCTATTTCGAAGTTTCTTAAAAAACGAGTTTGATTTTGGTCGGATAGATTAGTGGGACCGCCAAATTAAGGAATCCCATGTTCGTTTAAATAATGATCTGCAAATTGTATAAATTGTATTCTTGATAATTTTATAAATAAATAACCATAACTACATCAAAAAAGTATCAAAAATTTAACCCGAATATGGCTTTAACGTTCCCCCAAATTAAGCAAAACATCTGATCTAATCATGTGATTTTGTTGGATCACAAAAACAAATTCGAACATTTCTTGCCTAAACCTGCTTTCGGCTATCGCTGGACTTTCCCTCAAATTTGGTTGACAAATGTATATGTTTGTGTGGCAAAAGGTACTCACCAACCAGATCCCTAGAATTTAATACCGAATAAGTGTTCATTTAAAAATTCAAACAATAAATAAAGGGCTTTATAGTTTATCGCTATAGCGATGTATCGCTACCCCGGATCTGTGTCCCGAAAATCAAAATTCCGAAAATTAAAAATCCCGAAATTCGTGTGTGATGTCGGAGTTTCAATATTCAAACTCCACCTATGATTAGTTATCTATTACTAATCATAGGTGAGCTTAAATATTGAAACCACGACATCACACGACGCGATAACCAAAATCTCAGGTAGCGATAAAACAAAAAACCCCATAAGTGAAAATATTTTCAAAAAAGTGATTAATAGTTTTATGAACATTTGAACCATATAGTCGCGAAATAACGACTTTTGCGTGTTCCCATGTGTGTTACTTTGAATTTTGAAATATAAATTATACAAAGTACGCGTTATTTCAGGACACACATGGCGTTATTTTTAATTAAAGTATGATGATAAAATTTCAGAAATAACGCTCTTGAACGTTATTTCGCGACTATTTACTATAGATTTCATTTGCAAAATTAGTTTTAAATTTAGATTATAGTAAATAAATAGGATAATGTTAAATATCGCAGGTTGCTATTTCGCAGGTTAATATGATCGACCAATTAGATCACAGGATTTTGTGTAACAAAAATGAACGAAAAATTAGGAAAACTTAAGAAAAATGTCAAAATTTTATATATCTCGAAATTTCATTATGTAAACTAGTCTTGGGCTTCTAATTAAAAGTTTTAACACTTAATTTTGCATATAAATATGCCTTCTAGCTCTAATCCTAATACTAGCTCGAACACCAACTCTAACTAATAATAAATTTAATTTTTTTTAAAAATATATACGTATTAACCTGCGATATCACAACCTGCTAAATTTAACAAAACTCAATAAATATTCAAAATTTTATTAAATTATAATAAAATTTAAAAGATTTAGTTTAAGATATAAATTTTGTATAAATAAATTTTGAATAAATAAATTTTTGAATAAAAAAATTTTGAATAAATAAATTTCGAATAAATAAATTTCGAAAAAATAAATAAACTATAGCGTTCAAAAAAAACAAAAAAAATAGTGAATTTTATTGTTCAGATCATTCGAAAATTTTAAGAAAAATTAAGGCAGTTTTAATTGAAAGAAACAGAAAGTTATTATTATAACTAAACGTGATAAATATTGATAAATTAAAATTCTTTAAAAACTTTGAAAATTTAAACCAATTATTATAAAGTAAGAAGCAATTTAAAATTTTGATGCTTGATTGTTCAAATAGGATTACCATTTTCAACATCATCGTTTTCAGTATTAGTATATGCAGTCAAGGTCGGGCTATTCGTAACCGGAGTGATAAATTTAAATATCTTAAGTAATACAATTATGAGAATAGATAAAAGTGGTATACTAATATATGGAATAATATACGGATATTTCACCTTATCATATTCATAAGGTGATATAGGGAATAATGGTGCAAGAGCCGTAAAAATTGAACATAGAATAAAAATAGGGAAATATATTATTTTATAAAAATCTTTTAACTTAAACAATTGAATCTAGTTTTAAAGTAAAAAAAAAAAAAAAAAAAAAAGATTAACATTAAAGCATTAAAATTAAACAAGAATCAAATTAATTTAAACTTACAAGTAAATAACATGCACTAGCACCGTATAGCAGCATAATCAAGTATTCGGACATGTCGGAAAAAAATGAAAAGACATTTGTAGCAGGAAAGATGAGCATTAAAATTGAGCAATAAATCAATTGTGCAGCTAAATTGCGGCGTGGACTTCGCTTTTCCCGACATAAAATTTCATGCATTTTTGGTACCTCCTCGAATTCGTCAAAACATATTGAACTCCTATAAAGTTTATAATATACGAATTATAATAAAATGTCCGGCTAAATATTGTATCATATTATGCATAAATATATAAAACTTCAATAAACCTACAGCGAGACCATTGAAGCCACAGAACTAAAAGCAGAAATTGCGATAATTGAAGATACAAATTTTCTTCCGGCTTCAGCAAATAATTTTATTCCATAATCAATAGCAATACTTTCGTTAGAACTTTTTGGATCCGCTACAACCTTTGGATCGACTAATGATATAAAGGCAGCATTTGCAATAATATCTGTATAATAAAATAATTGTGGTCATTATTAAAACGTTATACATAAAATAATATAAAATGGCGTAAGTAAATCATAACAAATTGACAACTTACAAAGTACCATAGTAATACAAACATTAACAAGAGCAGAATATTTCCGGAATGGGGTTTCAACTTTCAACTCTTCGGATGAATCTAAAAAAAAAAAAAATCAAATGTTATTAATATCTCACTGACTAATTATAAGTAATTCGTACGAATCAACTTACATTTTAAATGATCCCATCCTGAATGTTTGTTATAATTTATTAATTTTTCATCATAGATTAAAATACTAAATGTAAAAGAATTAAAAAAATTTCAACACACCTTCATATGAATATAGTATCTATTTTTGATCATTACGTAAGTTTTAAGCTTGAAATGTAAAATTTTGTATAATATAAATATATACCTGTATCATAGCACTGCCATAACTTCCAATATGTTCTAAAGCAGTTCTGGTGTATGGAATGTTAGGTGATAATGTCTTATTGAAAGCTCTACTCCAATTATCTCTATACGCATCACTAAAGTCAGTGGCATTTGCTTTGCATAAACCAATGATAGCCAAAGCAAGTAGAGATACATATTTAAACAAGACCAATATTTGATCTATGCAGACAGCGTAATTTTCATATATTGTTTTATGTTGGTATTCTGTCTTGTTTTTTTCGTTTTCAGGTTTTTGTTCGGGTCCAATTTTTTTAATAGCTAGAATGTGATATGCAGTGGTAATTGCCAAAATAAAAATAGCCAGTAAACGTAATATACTAAGAAATTTGATAAAATTCTTAAGTTAAATGTTTGATGCAATGATTTGCAAGATTAATATTACGTACTTACATGAAATCTTTATCAAAATATGAACCAAAATCCTTGCCATAATGTTGAAATCGTCCGCCATCACCTCCTCCAATTGAATAGAGTAGATATTTAGCGGCAATGAAAGAATTAGCTATCATTGCTCCGGGTATAATTATACTTAAAGTAATTGAAATACAGTATAACGATAACAATATTAAGTATATCGATATATTTATATATAATTGTAAATCACGTGAAATAAAGATATCTACATACTTGAGTGTAGCGAAACCAAATAAAGATTTTAATATTCGAGAACCGAATGCAAATCCATATGCTTGAGCATCAAGTCGTTTTTCGTCTTTGTCTTTTTTTCCTTCTATTGACCACCAAACAAAACAACTATATAATTTAATAAAACCGCCAATAATCCAAAGAATCAAAGCGACCCCTGGCGATTGAACAAGCCTCCAAATGCTACCAGGTGTTATAAAAATTCCTTTTAAAAATATAAAATCAATAATGAATCTCAACATAAAAATTTAAAATTAATAAAACATAATATGCTTTTTTTTTTTTTTTTTTACAAACCTGCGCCGACGATAAGGTTTATAGTTTCGCCTGTTTTCCAATGAAATTCTTGTTGTCTTTCTGGTTGTCTTTCTGGTTGTCTTTCTGGTTGTCTTTCTGGTTGTCTTTCTGGATCAGATTGCGATAATTCTCGTTCACCTTTAGATACTTTACTCATGATGAATGTTTTTGCTGAAAATATCAGACGTGTAAAAAAAAAAAAAAAGAAACAAAAAATAAGATTTAATCGACTATTCACTTGCATGCAAATTTAATTTAACTAAATCCAAATGATTTGCAATACGAAATTCTTGCGATACGATTCATTACATAAAAGATAAAAATGGGATAAAATAAAGGAATGAATGCGGAATATGATATCATTTCTGGTGTATAATTGTTTTACAGTTACGGTAGAAACAATTTTTTTTCGAATTGTAAATGATTTCCAGTAAAGCTAAATCTCGTGTATTATTTATTACATTGACTACTTGTTTAATGTAACACTATTCGTAACTATTGCCAGAGATCAAACTTTAATTTCTAATACTTACATAATTAAAAATATCTCTCTAATAGAAATTATCAGCAACAATTTTCCAATGTATCTTTTCATCTAAATTCTGCCTTTTTAAAGCTGAATCCTGTGGAAATTCTATTACATCATAATAAATCATTCGGTAATAATATCCCGGTGGAGATCTGCCCCACGGGTACGCACCATAAAAATCATACGACAGAAAAGAAAATTAGCCACGCATAACGGTAACAGTAATACAAATGCAATAATATGTACAGCTATGAGAGGCGTGGGATGATTTCATTACTCTAGGATTCATTTTTCAGTTTTAAGCTTACCCGTATACAATTTTTGTTTTGTGTTCTAAGGAACGACATTTTCAAAGTTTTTTGGATTCAATTCTCATTTAGACATTCTTCTACTCGCTTAACTTTATGTTTGCTTTACTAGACTTTAGCATAATCATGATTTTCTGCGATTATCGCTTCAAAAGTTGCCGTCTGCCGAGGTTGTACGTATTTGCTGGAAATTACTACCCGATTATGGGGCTGGTATGATAGAAGCATTTATTCCCGAAATCATGCGTTACACAATTTTTACGCAATCAATAACGTACTTTAGAATCATGATTGATAATCATTATTAAATGCTCAAAATCTCTTCATCATAGTTATAATGTTTCTACTGATTTGATTGAGTATTTTCCATAAAATAGTATTTATTCATAATTTTTGGATTCTCAATTCCGGATGGGGCACGGCATTATCTGACTCAATTACTATATATTCTATACTTACTGGCTAGTTAATGACGTTATCTCCGGTTATATAAATGGTAGGCTTTATCCTAAATTTTTGGTTTTGTTTATCCTAAAACATGCATTTTGTTTGTCTTATGCATTGTGTAAATACTTATACTTTTGTTTAAAGTGATGGACTTAACGTTATTTATTCCCATTTCAGAGTAAATGAGCAAAATAAATAAGTAAATAAAATGGGTACGGGTACTTAAGTTTATTTTTATTTGTATAAGCAATCCTTAAGTACAAAGGTCACACCAAATTATTTGGGAAATTTAAATGATATATTCTTGTGGCATTTTTAAACTTGTACACTTTACTATTATGCGATGCCATTACTCGTTTGTAATACGTATGCATGTGCGCGTACGCGTACGCATGTACGGATCAACAAGTCATTAATAATTTCCTGCTTTGGCAGTTACGTCTTATGATATCGAAATTGTCTATAAACTTACTGCACTTTATTCACGTACGTACGTACGGTACATATACGTATTCTTTATACACAGTGTCAAATTACCAAAATTACCAAAATTACTTAAAATTACTAAAATTGTGGCCAATAAAGATTGGTTAGAAAAAACTATTTCTGAAAAATTTATTAATAATCACGAATATAATGAATTCACCAGTCGTGTACTAGTTGATACTGGTGGCTTTGCGACTGTTTATAAATGTGAATGGAAGGATCTAGAATTAACAATTGCTCTTAAACGTCTCAAAATCGTCAATGCGAATTTCGATAGAAAATTTGTTTCAGAGGTATAATTTAAGTCTATCTCATGAATAAATGTGTGTTATTAAGGGAAAACCTGTAAGTACGAATTTAAATATTCACTGTACCGGCTTAGATTTGTAATCGTTTTGATAATATTTTGAACGTGACTATGCAATGTCATGATTTTTCAGAAGTCCGGTACTGTGAATATTGAGATTTGAGTCTATGGGTTTTTCTTTGGCATGCTTAAATTATCCGATTGAAAATTACATACTGATATGTTAAATTCATATATGTTAATATAAGCTACTACATAGAGTTTGTAATCATCCTAACGAAATGTAATATATTTTTGATTTTTTACGGGTTTTTGCTTTTAACGCCACAGCGATGTATTGCTACCCTGAGACTTAGTTGTCGCGTTGCGTGATGTCGGGGTTTCAATATTCAAACTCCGATTATGATTAGTAATATAATTAACTATAAATTACTAATCATAGTGATGTTTGAATATTGAATCCCAATATCACACGGCACGACAATTTTGATTTTCGAGATTTTGATTTGACATAGACCCGTGGTAGCGATTAGGGATGGGAAAATCGAAGATTTTTTGAAGATACTGCACAGCCTGCGCAGCATGTGGGCCTGCATTATGACTAATGCGGGCCAATTTGCTAAATTTCGATATTTTCCGGCATATTCCGACCTTCCGGAATATTCCACCTGCGCAGCGGCCCATCCCTAATAGCGATACATTGCTATAGCGATAAATTATAAAGTCCTAAAATTACAACTAATTCTAAATAATTTTAAATAATTCATTATAAAAATCTTGATGGATATTATAATATGATTTTACAATTTGTGTGGAAATACTTGAAACAAATTTTAGTGATTTGCAATGGGCGAATATAAAAAATTTTGAATGGTCTCATGTATTTGCATAATAATCATAATAATGATATTGTTCACCGTGACCTTGTAAATGTATTTCGCTATACAATTTATACGCTTAAATTTGTCAATTATAATTATATTATCCGTTTCATAGCATTCAAAAAATAGTTTAATTCATCAAGAACAACCAATGATTGCAGATTTTGGATTGTCAAAATAGATAAATGAAACGTCTACATATATATCTATAAATTCAGGTTTTAATGGAAGGCTGGCTTACGTTGAGCCTAGTGATGTGCCGCAAAAAATGTTTTAGAATATTCTAGAACAAATTATAAAACTATTCATATCTCAAAAGTTTCCTTATGAAACCGCCTTTTGTATTCTAAGTAAATTACTCCTTGCGAAATTTTGTATATAGATAGTTTATATATCATACGTGTACTATACATATTGCACATGCTATATACACTATACGACTATACGTACTGTACGTACTGTACGCTAAAAAAAATCGGATATCATATAAATGGCACATCACTGGTTGAGCCTCAATGCTTTCTTAATCATGAATTTAAACGTGATAAACAATCTAGTTTCGGTGTAATTTTATGGGAAATATCAAGTGGAAGACCACCATTTCAATCAATCCCTGAATATTCACTTTCTGTTCAAATATACAGGGGAATAAGAGAAAGCCCTGTAGAAATTACACGTTGAACTTTATGAAAAATTTTGGGATACTGATCCTACCGTCCGTCCAGAAACAAAAATGATTCTCGCAACATTAAATTAGTTTCTCAACGAAACTTCAGATCAAATTATTTCTATTACAACTCAAATTCCCGAGGAACCTTCAAACTACATATACTTCAAATCAACGTATTATTAGCGAAACCTCAAATCATCATATTTCTAATGACACTTCAACTCAACATATACCTAATGAAACTTCAAGTCAACATATCCATAATGAAACTTCAAGACAACATATTCTTAATGAAACATTAAGTCAACATGTTCCTAATGAAGTTTCAAGTCAACATATTTCTAATGAAACTTCAAGTCAACATGTTTCTAATGAAATTTTAAATCAACATATCCATAATGAAACTTCAAGTCAACATGTTTCTAATGAAACTTTAAGTCAACATATCCATAATGAAACTTCAAGTCAACATGTTTCTAATGAAACTTTAAGTCTACATATCCATAATGAAACTTTAAGCCAACATATTCCGAGTGAAACTTACCCATAATGAAACTTCAAGCAAACATATTCCGAGTGAAACTTCAAGCCAACATTTTTCTAATGAAACTTCAAGTCAACATTTTTCTAATGAAACTTCAAGTCAACATTTTTCTAATGAAACTTCAAGTCGACATATTCATATAAAACTTTAAATTATCCAATCTATGAAAATTATACACTTGTAAATAAAGAGAAATGAAACATTCTTCACTAAAGGAAGATATATAGAAGCATCGGAACTTTATAAAGGTATTCTTGAGGATAACCAACATAATGATGAAGATCAGCGAAATGCTTCAATTTGGAATATTTCTATACATCTTGATAGTAAAAAAATAGAACTTTCAAAAAAAACGGTCTTGGCTCCAAAGAAAGAAAAGAACTGCAACAATATAACTCTATATTCTTTAAATCTTTGTTTTAATAAACAAAGTTCTGAAGGAGTAAAAGCATTAGTAAAAGTACTCTGTAATAATAATACTAAACCGACTAATTTGAATATTGAACATAATCAACTTAGGTGTCAAGGCACTGGCGGAGGTTCTTAATAAAAACATTGCAGTAACTTCATTAAAACTTTGTGGTAATAATCTTGGATTTAAGGAAGGAAAAATGTTAGCTAAAGTTCTTCACGAAAATAATGTTCTAACTTCGTTAGAACTTTATGAAAATAAATTGGGTCCTAGAGAAGGAAAAGCATTAGCAAATGCTTTTGACAAAAACAATGTTCTATCTTCTTTGAACCTTGGAATAAACTTGAATTTGAAGGTACAAAAACGTTCTTTCTAAAAATACCACTCTAACTTCTCTAAGTCTTCAATGGAATAGAATAGATTTTGATAGTGGTAAAAGTTTGGCAAAGCCCTCCATAATAATACAGCTTTAACTTCGTTAGATCTTGGATTTAATAATCTTCGTTTTAAAGGAGAAAAAGTATTAGCAGAGGCTCTTTGCATTGACTTGTTTAAATTTAGAAAAAATATACATGTTTACGAAAGTAAAAAAGAGTTAGCAGAAGCATTAACAACGGCTCTGTGAGAAAATTCTACTCTAACTTCTTTAAATCACAGGGAAATAATCTTGGTTCTAATGAAGGAGAAGCATTAGAAGAAGCTATTCATAAAATAGTACTTTATCTTTTTTAAATTCTAGTCAAAATAAACTTGGTTTAGAGGGAGAAAAAGCATTAGCAAAGGTACTTGGAGAAAATACTGCCCTAACTTCTTTAGATCTTCGAGATAATGAACTTTGTTCTGACGCAAGAGAAATTTTTAGCAGAAGTTCTTTGCAAAATACTATCTACTTTTTTAGATCTTCAAGGTAATAATATTTGTTCAAAATGAAAAAAAGCATTGGCAAATGCTTCTTGCAAAAATATCATTTTAAAAATTTTAAATATTGGCAATAATCAACTTGGTTCTGAAGAAAAAACATTAGCAAATTCTCTTAATAAAAATACTACATTAACTTTCCTAGATCATGAAAATGAACTTTGTTTGAAGAAAAAACATTAATATTATAATAAAAATACCACTTTAACTTTATTGCTATTGACATATTTGAGGTTTTAAATAATTTTATTTTTTTTTATAATTTAGCAGTCTTGCCACTTTTTATTTGAGATTAAACTAAATTAAGAAATTTATATTTCCTAATAATAGCTATACTAATTTAACCAAGAAGTGATTTGCCTATGCTTTTGTCAGATATAACTTGCCTCAGTGGACTTCAAGCCTCTCTCTGGCCCCTAACTTATTAGAGGTTATCCTTTGATCATATGCTAATGTCACATTATATCAAAGTTAGATTTCCTTTTTACAAAATAAAGTACAAACACAGATACAAAGGGTATAACAAAAATGGGAAAATACTACAGTATCAAGTTTTGGTTCATCTAAACCAATAAAACCAAATAAAACAAATAACAAAAAGAAAAAAACAGAAGAAAAGAAAACAAAGATAGTATTATTAAACTCATGTTGGATTGTAAAAATTATATAGTACTACAAATAAATTAGATTAAACTCTATAGTAAAAATGTCAAAAAATCATCCAGTCTTGAAGTAGAGCTTTAAGTATCGAAACTTCTATATGCTATCCCATGTTTGTTGACAAACCTTCTGCAATGTTTCAACCTGTATAGTCCTATACAAAGTTAACAAGCTGTTGTCTATTGATCTATATCAGCAAATTAGGCTCTCTTAGTGTAACTACTGCATCTTGAGGAAAAAGTATCTCACACTATAATCCAAAGTATACACATACATGTGTATGTATATTTTCTTTTTAGACAGCAATTATTGTTGTTAATTTTTTGATGGGAGTATACCATTTTTCTTACTTTTTGTAGAAATTTTGTAAAGACCAAGAAAGTGAAGTATGGAAGAGTGTTTTAGTTTGCAGGTAGTCTTAAACTTTGGTAAGAAACATGTTATAAACTTACTTGTTGTTCTTTTTAGACCAATTATCTTTAACTTTATCAATAGAAGTAGACTTTTTATTAAAATTTTCTGCACAAAAGCACCATCTTCTTGCCAGTTATCTTGTATAAAAACATTTTTAACTTGCATACTAAATATACAGAGTAGTGATATAAACTGAGAAAAACTTCTTTAATTAGTTAACTGAACTGAATTATTTAATTCAACCGATTATTAACCAGTTAAAATTAACTATCTACTATCATTAGAACTTCTCAGTGCTTTACTCAAATTTTTGTCTTGTTTTTATATTCATTCATTTTCTTTTCAGAACTTTTTGGACTTTTTACTCTCTCTTTACATCATTTTCATATTATATCGATTCTGCTAACTGATTACTTAATTTTCAACTAGTTGTATCAGGTCAACTAATTAAGAATTTCCTTACCTGATTAACCAAAATTTATTTAGTTCAGATCAATTAACAAATTATAGCCTAACTGATTTAAATCACTAATACAGAGGAGTCCAGGAGAATAAAAAAGCTTTGACCTCTGTAAAAACTGTTATTTGTAGTTGTCTCTTCTACTTTTCTTCAACAAGTTTCTGTTTTTATTAGCTATAACAAGTAATTATCAAAGAGAGTTGAAATAATTTTATTATTTATTTATTATTAACAATAGTAATTTAAGGATATAGTATCTGACAAAAGTTACTCTGCACCTCTAACTTGGTACAGAAGTAAGGTAAATAAAAATTATTTTTTATTTAAAAATACATTGTATTACAAGAAAATCAATGCATTATATAATCACTCTTAGCTTTAATTAGAGCTTTTATATGATCCTACATACTTCTAACTAAATTTTTCGCATATTCTTTAGGTAAGCTATTCTATTCATCAGAAAATTTTAAAGCCTGATTATAATCAGTCACAAAACAGTTAATTAATTATAATTAATTGGCTTTAAGTGATTTTAACTGATAGTGGTATTGATAATTAATTTATATCAAAATTGATAATAATCATTAATAATAAAAATTGATACAATTTAAAAGATTATAGTTAATAGCAATAATTTATATCAATTATAATTGATAAAAATCTAATCAATTTTAATTGACAGTGATAATAAAAATCA